CCAGAGCCTTGTTTTTTGCCAAAGTCTTCAGTGCACCTTCAACTTCCTCCTTCAGTATCATTGGCTTTTGATCATATGCTACCTCTTGAAATGTTTGAATATCGACCATTTCTTTTTGGTACAGTGAATCTGTGTATTTCTTCCATCTTCTTTTGATGCTTTCTGCTTCATTCAATATTTTGCCCATCGAAGCCTTCAATATTTCAAGTCAAGGCTTGAATTTTTTTTTAGTTCCCTCAGGTTAAGAAATGCTGAGCATGTTCTTCCCTTTTGGTTTTCTAATTCCAGATCTTTGTACGTATCGTTATAATATTTGACTTAGTCTTCTCCAGCTGACCTTTGAAATTTTCTATTCAACTCTTTTATGACATTATTTCTCAATTTCAGAGACTCTTCTGACATCCATTTTGGTCTTTTTCTTCTCTCTTGTCTTCTTAACACCCTTTTGCTTTCTTTCTGTATGATCTTGAAATCATCCCAGAACTCTTGTGATCTTGTGTCACTAGTGTCTAATTCATCAAATCTTTTCTTGAGATCATCTCTAAATTCAGGTGGGATATGTTCAAAGTCATATTTTGGCTCACATAGACTTGTTTTAATCTTCCTCAGCTTCAACCTGAACTTGCATATGAGCAATTGATGATCTGTTCCACAGTCTGCCTCTGACCTTTAGATTGATGATATGTTTAAAATTAGAAAGTGTACCAGGGTTTCATGCTTTCACCGTAGTTATTCAATCTATATGCTGAGCAAATAATTGAAGAAAAATATGGCATCAGGGTTGGAGGAAGGCTAATTAACAATCTGTGATATGCAAATAATACAACCTTGCTTGCTGAAAGCGAAGAAGAGGGCTTAAAATACTTACTGATGAAGATTAGAGACCACAGTCTTTGGTGTGGATTGCACCTCAATGTAAAGAAAACAAAAATCCTCAGCAATGGACCAGTAAATAACATCAAGATAAATGGAGAGAACTTTGAAGTTGTCCAAGACTTTGTTTTGCTTGATCAACTCATGGAAGCAGTAATCAAGAAATCAAAGGAAATATTATAATAGGCAAATCTGCTATAACAGACCAGTTTACCCTTAAAGAGCAAAGAGGTCACTTTGAGGATTAAAGTGTTCCTGACCCAAGCCATACTATTTTCAATTGCCTTATATGCATGTGAAAGCTGGACAATGAATAAGGAAGACCATAATGATACATTTGAATTATGGTATTTGCAAAGAATATTGATAGTATCATGAACTTCTAAAAAAACAAACAAATCTGTCTTGGGAAAAGTACAACCAGAATGCTTCTTAGAAGCAAGGATGGTGAGATGGCATCTCTCATTCTTTGGACATGTTGTCAGGAGGGATCAGTCTTTGGAGAAGGCCATCAGGTTTGGTAAAGCAGAGCATCAGTGAAGAAGAGGAAATCCCCAACAAGAGGGATTGGCAGCACTGGGCTCCAACCTAACAATTGTGAGGATGGTGCAGTCCAGAGCAGTGTTTTGTTCTGTTGTGCATAATGCTACCATGAGTGGAAAAGGACTCAAGGACACCTAACACCACCAGCAAACAGTAGTTCTTTTTTATTGAGGAGGAGTATTCTAGAAAATGGATGAGCCACAGTTGTTTAGTCATCATCTGTTGATAAAAAATCTCTGCTCTTAATTAACCAAATTGGATTCTCTATAGCAATTAGTCACAATTAGCTGTCCCTGTGCTGTCTACTCTTCTCTAACAGCTTATCCTATTGGTACACATTTCTAAGCTGCCTCACTGGTCAGACAGCATAAGACAGGGCTCAGTAACCTAAATCAAACAAAACTAGCAAATCCATCTGGGTGGGCAGAAGTAGTAACAGGAGGCTGTGTTCTAACGATGGCTGATCTTTTAGGGCTTTTGTTAGTGTTATCCTTGTTCTCTATGTTGTGCATAAGGTAAGTTGGGTTTAAAATAAAACTATCAAATTTCATGTATTAGAAAATTACCTATTATGGGATCCAATTTGGGAAGAATAAATCAATAGAAATTAAAACTAAAGAGTCCCTGACTTAACTTGAGTGGTGTACAAATCAAGAAAGAGACATTTTTGGGCTCTGTAAAGAATTTATAATCCTTTTCCTAAGTGGATTTTTAGGTTTTCATAGAATAGCCAATAGTTACTAAGGAGAAATTGTAACAAATAAGAGAATGTGTTGTATTCTATTGTATTAGTAACCTCTTTCTGTTCTTTTTAATGTTGCTTAAAACAGCACTAAATTATTTAGAAGATAAACATTGTACCCAGCTGTAAAACAGAATGTGTAGATTGAACCTTCTCCAGCTGATTTACTATGTACCTTATGAAACAAATAACTTATCAATCAAGAAAGCATTTTTTTTTTTTAAGTGCATTAGATAGGTAACATTAGATAGGTAAGATACAGGAGATGCATTGTGGCTCCATACAATAAGCACTGGACTATGAACCACAAAGTCCACAGTTTGAGCCCATCAGCTACTCCTCGGGAGAAACATGAAGCTTTCAACAAGTTAGGGAGTCCTGGTGTGGTGCCATAGGATAAGCACTCGACCTCAAGGTTGGTCTGAACTACTAAGTTGGCGGCAGTTCAAACTCACCAGCCGCTCCTCAGAAACCCTATGCAGGGTAACTGTGAGTCAGAAGTGATGCAAAGGCACTTAACAACAACAAGGGAAGATCAATGATGTTAGTAGCACCACTGGATCGCATTGCTCTTACCTTGAATTATAACATTCAAGGAGTTATAATAAAACAGGCCCAAAGTCAGCCAGTGAAACCAGGGCTTGCTTTCATGTGTGCAACTGTCTTTCACATAGAAAGGAAGAGAGAAAAGAATAGTTATGCGTGGTACAAGAGCAAGGGTATTCATGTACAGAAAGTGAAAATGTCTTTTTGTTAATAAATTATGAGAGCTGCATTTAGTCTGCTGGTTTTGGTGCCCTCAGATTGACTTTTCCTACCTTTACCCTGTATTCACAGAGTATGACTTTAAAAATGATACCATTTCCCTTTTTGTGGTATTTTGCGTTCCACATAATGTAGTGATTATCCGTCTCCTTTAAAAGTAAATAAAAGTGAATTATGTTTTTATGTATAAATTCTTCAAAAGAAAGGGAGCTAATACAGATTTTTATAGGGAACATTGGCTGTTACTACTGTGCCATGAATAATTCTACTGTGGTTGAGCTGAACTTCATAAGTACTTATAAATTTATAAGATGAAAAAGTGCTTACCTGTGTCCCCTTGGCATATTGAACTACAGTAGGTCTAATTTTACATGAGCATAATGTTTACTGATGGACTAATTGGGATTAGGAGTACAGAATAGAAAAGCTTCAAAAAAAAAAACAAAAAAAAACTAAGCAACAGTGTGATTCTAAGACTGTAAGATCAATGTTTTCAGAATAAATATGCTCTAAGGAGCTCTGCCAGTGTAGTGGTTACGAATCGGGCTGCAAACCGCAAGGTCAGCAGTTTGAAACTACCGGCTGTTCCGCAGGAGAAAGATGAGGTTTTCTGCTTCCGTAAAGATTTACAGCCTCAGAAATACTGTACAGGATCGCTATGAGTCAGAACCGACTCCACGGCACATAACCACCATCACCATAGCATCTCTAAGGAGCACTGGTGGCAAAGTGAGTTAAGTGTTGGGCTGCTAACCCAAAGATGGGCAGTTTGAATCTACTAGCTACTCTGCAGGAGAAAGATGAGACAATCTTCTTCTGTACAGATTTACAGTCTCAAAAAGCCTATGAAGCAATATAGTGTCTTTAAGTAATGCAGATGGTTAATACAGCAAGCTGGTAACTGAAAGGTTGGAGGTGCAAGTCTACCCAGGGGTTCCTAAGAAGAAACACCTGGGAACCCATAAGGGGCTTCAAAAGTTCATGGTAAAATGGATTAAAAGATAATAGAATTTGCCTGTGAACTTTTTGAAGGCCCGCCCCCCTCCCCCCCGCCCTTTTACAATAAAAATAATAATAATTTAAAGCCGTTTGAGATTGAGTTCTGCTCTGACACACACAGGGCTGCTATGAGTAGAAATTAATTTGATAGCAGCTGGTTTTGGATTCTTGCCATAAATAACCAAATTTACAATGATAATTTTTCTTACTTGTTCTTTTCATTTTTTTAAAATGGAAGTTATAAATAGAACTGAATCAAAATGACATTGATAAACAGATTTTTCTACTTTCAAATTTCCAAATCCGTAATAATATGAGCTGCACCTTACATCATGAAATTGCTTGTATGTTTTGCTTTTAGAAATTTAAGCATGTAGAATTTTCAAATAACAAGGAAAAACAATTTTTATAATTAGCTTTTACCTAATTTTTCTAAATTTTGACTTGCTAAAAAAAGGTCTTTATTGGTCTGATTCTGTGGGGGTGTTTACACTTTATTGCTGAGCTAAAATTGGTGTGTGTTTTCCAAATGTTAGGATCATTTGTTTTTATAGAAAAGGAAAACAGTTTTTAAGGCTATTCCTAAGGAATGCATTTTATAATTTCTGGCTAAAGTTAACCAGCAGTAGTAAATGAGTTAAAGAAATTTGATTATTCAGATATATATGGCATAATAAGATATTAGTATTAATTAGTGAAATTGTGTGATCTCCACACTAGAGATGTCAAATGTCTTTAGAATTTAGAGAGATTTACATCAGTTTATTTGTACTTGATTGAAGCGCAGTGACTGTAGGATAAGCACTTGACTGTGAACCACAAGGTTGGTGGTTCAAACCCCAGCTGTTCCATGGAATAAAGATGATGCTTTATATTCTCTTAAAGATTTATAGTCTTGGAAACCCTATACAGGGTTGTTATGAATCAGAACCGACTCAACAGCACTTAACAACAATAGCAAAGAATATAAAAGTCTCAGTTATTATTGTGTATCAACCCATGAACTAAAAATTTTGATAGAAACATTAAAGCTTATGGAACTTGTTTTAATTTTATCTTTTTGTTTGTTTGTTTCCAGAAAGTACAAGCATGTCAGCAGAGACTAGATAGGGAAATTTCCAACTTTCTCAAAATGATAAAGGAGTGTGACACGGCGAAAGGTAAAACACAAACAGACACAAACATAAGTACTAACAACAAATCTTTAAAGCAACCCATTGTCATAGCTATAGTGACTATACATCTTAGGGACTATTTGGTTCTGAATTCACAATTGTATCGCACAAAATTATTTAGAAATTTAAAAAGGGTTATTTAAAATTGCTACTCACTGAGGAATTATACATAGTTTCATTCTTTTTAGAAAAAGAAAAACTAATTTAAAATTAACATTTTGGGGTTCATGTTTGCTAGCTAATGAGAATTCTGCTGTTGAATCCCTGATGGCCTGGATTTTGGAATCAGACTGTCTTAGATTTAAATCCTTGCTCTGCCACTTACTAGCATTAACTTTGAGTAGTACATTTAACTCTCTGAGCCATGGTTTCCCTATCTGTAAAATGAAGGGATTGGTTTTTTCCTGGTCTTGATTTTTGTTTATGATTCCATGAATGTATATGAACTCATCTTTCTATCTAATTAATCTACCTTTCACCAGTAACTTTTATGTTGTAGTACTCCATTACGTATAAATTTCTCCTTGGAAGCCAGAATGGCCAGACTTCATCTCTCATACTTAAGACGTATTATCAGGAGGGACCAGTCCCTGGATAAGGTCATGTTTGCTTAAGTGGAGGGTCAGAGACAGGGAGGAAGACTCCCAATGAGACAGATCAGCCCAATGACAGCAGCAATGGGCTTGGGTTTATCAATGTTTGTGAGGTTGGCACAGTATGGGGCAGAGTTTCATTCTGTTGTGCAGAGTCACTATGAGTCAGTGTTGACTTGGTGGTACCTAACAACAATAATAGTATACTCCAAGAATAAAACTTAAGTGTTGAGGAAAAAAATGTTTGTTACTTTGTAAGTGTAAAAAATTATCACATTTCTTAGACTTTTGACTTTGCCATAATATGAATATAAATGATTCCACTAAAAAAATAGCTGAATTTGCTGCCTATGAATTTATGATTAGCTATCAATTTTAATCATGAACTAGTTTCCCTGAGAAGACTCCTTGGTTCTGCTAATAAGTGCCCAGGGAATGGGAAGAAATGTTAGTAGCGTAAACTGAGCATCAGAATTCTGTGTCTGCCCAAGTGTACCTTAAACATTCTTTTATTTCAGGCAACATACAGTTGTTTATGTCTGCATTAATAGCTTTGACAGGACAATATTTACATCATTTTGCTTATTAATTACAAGCTAGATTATTGTATCACTCTATTCATACTCAATGAACTTTAAAATGTAAGTTTTATTATCTATAATTCACATTAGATTAAATTCACTCAAAGTTTACAATTCAGTGGTTTTTCATATATTCACAGTTGTACAATCATCACTGTCACTGGGCTTTTAAAATACCATCTTAACAAGGAACCCTCCAAAGTAGGAAGAGGCACTAACAGTGTTTAAAAGATGTTGAAAAGGTCCAGTAAAACATAAAGATTAGTTCCTTTAATGTGGACCAAAGCAAGACATTTTATCAAATCTATACCCAACTTATGTTATTTGCTTTTTAAAATTTTAACATCCCTAGGTTCAGATGATATGCTGCAGTATTCATGGTGATGGCCTTTATGTCTATGAGCAGATTAGTCTTCTAATTTTTAAGAACTGATACGAAATGAACATTGCATCGTTTGTGCTCTTAGAGATACCCATAATGCATGATACCATAAAAGAGGTGCTTCATATAGGGTAGTGCCATCAGAGAAACCATGGAGATGTTTGACTCTGATCTGACAAACCTATTCCTTGTATCTACTGTCAATGAACTCATTCACAATTATAAACGTTTTTTTTCTGATGATTTTTAATATAAATACCCAACTAATTGCTGTCAAGTCAATCCCAACTCACCAGTAACCCTAAAGGATAGAGTAGACCTGCCCCATAGAGTGTTCAAGACTGTAAGTCTTTAGAGAAACCTACTGACACGTCTTTCTCCCCAGTGGCTGCTGGGTTTGAACCACTAACTTTTCTACTGGCAGCACAGCTCTTATCCACTCTTCTACCAGGGCATCTTTCTTTATAAATAACCACACAGAGACAACAAATAGCCACTGCCAGTGCATCAATTTCAATTCACAGCTACCCGGTGTAGCCTTTCCAAAGCTGTAAATATTTACAGGAGCAGAAAGCCTCCTCTCTCTCTCTCTCTCAGCAACTGGTGGGTTTGAATTGCCAACCTTGTAGTTCGCGTCCAGTGCTTACCCTACAGCACTTATTCCTACATGAATGGAATTGCAGAGGTGAAGGAATGGTACAGATTGACTTTGCATATTGTGTTTTATTTGAAAAAAAAACCTGATAATGCATACCCTGCTTCAAACTACTTGTATAGTTTGTCAGTGGCTTCTCAAAATGAAAAACTAAAATGTTTGTAGGCAAAGTCCACATCTTGTGGTTGTTATTGTTGCCTTAAATTTTAGTGTAAAACTGTATCATTAACTATAGGGCCCAGGTCCCTTCCTGCTTGTTCCTTCCAACTTCCACCTTACTAATTGAGCTCTGTTTTAATCTTCACCTCACTGCCTCTTAGTTCACTCCCCGTGCTGCTCCTTCCCTGGAGGGAAATCAGTCAGAAGACTAAGGAATTTCTCCAGACTCAGTTCTGTGAAACACTGTACTGTTGCTTCCAGATTCATTTTACAAGTACTGTGTTTTTTTTAATCATACAGGGTTTTTGTTGTTGTTGTTTCTTTTTAATGGGTTCTTAGAACCCATTGCCCTTGAGTCAGTTCTGACTGATAGTGACCCTGTGTAGAGTTTCTGAGACTGTAAATCATTAAGGGAGCAGACAGCCTCATCTTTCTACCATGCTCCTTTTATGGATCCTTGCAACTGTAAAATTAAAGGCAAACTCCACAGCTTGGCATTTAACAACTTTTTCATGGTCTGACCGTAGCCTGATTTTTCAGATTTACTTTCAGTTAGCCTTTTAGACACTTCCTGTGTGGTGCTGCAGGATAATGCAGTGAACCACAGGATGGGTTTGAACAGCAAGGACAGTGGTTCAAACCCACCAGCTGTTCCTCAGAAACCCTATACAGGTTCACTATGAGTTGGAACCGACTCATGAGCACACAAAACAACAATAAATCTATTTGATATTGACCAAACACAGAATCTTTGCTCAGAAATGTCCTCTATTGAAATACTTACACATTCAGGAGTGAACTTTTAACCTAATTTTGATTTCGATTAATGTCAAAGTATGTGCATCTGGCATTGGCAATCCTCTTTAAGGTACAGAGAGTGGCTTCACTATTTAATCTTTCCAGAACCACATTCCCTTTCTTAGTTAGATGTCTTGTGCACTCCAGGACCAGGTGCTGCCTGGCCCTTCCCCATCACAGCCGTAGTTATGTTGCAGCTGCAGTGTTAATCCATCTTTTGGAGATTGCCCTCTTTTTCACCGACCCGCTGTTTTACCAATCTCAATGTCTGTTTTCAGGGACTGGCAGCAGGCAGACTAGCACCAAATTCTGACTCTAGCATTTACTAGCTGTGTGACCTTAGGCAAGTTACCTCAGCTCTCTGAGGGTCAGTATCAGACTCTAGCATTTTCTAGTTGATAGCATATCTGAAGCACAAGAGCCCAGCCTCACTTCCTCACTTCTAAGGGCATTCTGACTGTACTTCTTCCAAGACAGATTTGTTCATTCTTCTGGCAGTCCGTGGAACTTTCAGTATTCTTTGCCAACACCTTAAGGCAGATGAATCGTTCTTCTCTGGTTTTCCTTGTTCATTGTTCGGCTTTCACATGCTTATAAGATAATTGAAGATACCGTGCATGACTTGGGTCAGGCATACCTTAGTCCTCAAAGTGGCATCTTTGCTCTTTAACTATAATTGCTTCCTTTATGAGAATGTAAATCCTCAGCTCTTGAAATCTTTGGGTTTATATTGTGTCTGAATGGACTTGATGGCAGTGAATTTGCTTTTTGGCAATATCTACCTCTTTTTGCACCAAAGCACTATATCTATGGTTGTTGTTGTGTTGTGAAGTGCCGTTGAGTCAATTACAACCCATAGCAACCCTGTATAGTGTTTCCAAGAAGCAGCCGGTGAGCTTGAACCGCCAACTTTGCAGTTCAAATATCTATGGTAGCAGCTTTAAATTGTCTTGGTTTTTTGCATGTCTAGGGATTTTGTGTTTTCAAACTCTGTTTAACATATTTATGATTTAGGGTTGGAGGGATAGTTCCCCTAAACTTAGTTTTTCAGGTACTTTGTGTCCATTCTTTTTCCAATATAAAATATAGCAATAATTCATAAGTTATATTATTTCATCTAGTATCATAACATAGTTTTGAGAATATAGCCCTTTTATGTACTTTATTCTGTGCGCTTTGTATATATTAACTCACTTATTCCTTACACCAACCCTGGGCAATACTGTTAATTACATGTCTGTTTTACAGAAAAGCTAAAAGGTTCACAAAGAGCTTGGATAACTTGCCTAAAGTCACACAACTAGTAAATACCAGAGGCAGAATTTGACCTAAACTGCTCAGTTCCACAGTCTGCTTTTAACCGATTGTTAGTGTTGTTAGGTGCCGTTCAGTAGGGTACAATTTATATCGACCTTACGCACAATGAAACACTGTCTGGTTCTGTGTTGTAACATACTCACAATCATTGTTAAGCTTGAGTCCATTGCTGTTGCCTCTGTGCCAGTCCATCTTGTTCAGGGTCTTCTCTTTTGCTGGCCCTGCACTTTATCTAGCCAGATGTAGTTCTCCTCGGACCGGCCCTCCTGATACTATATCCGAAGGATGAGAAAAGAAGTCTGGCTTCTAAGAAGCATTCTGGCTGTACTTCTTCCAGCGCAAATTTGTATATTCTTCTAACAATCCATGGTCCTTTTAATATTCTTTTCCAACACCATAACTCAATGAATCAATATTTCTACAGCCTTCCTTATTTCATTGTCCCAACTTTCATGTGCTTATGAGGTTATTGAAAATACCATGGCTTGGATCAGGGACAC